TGTGTAAGATAAATACCCTATTAATTTCCATTTTCGTCATAATTATTTGTTTATTTTATAATTTATATGAAAAATCGAATAAAAAAAATTAGTATAAATTAAGGGTAGTTCAAAAGTTAATGGTAAAATTGTCTGATTCACAGGGTTGGTATACTCTATACGTTGGAAACGATTCCGTTATAATCAGACCTTTCAGAATTAAAAAAGTCCCACTATAAATTATTTAAGTTAAAAAAAATTTGTTTGCTCCTACGACATCGCCTAAAATAAATTTCCAGTATGGACTATGTATAGACCAGGGATGTGAACCCGAATCCTGACCCTTAACCCTCCTGGACCCTTGTATTTTGGCTGAATTCGAACCCGGACCCTTTTTAAAAGTAGAGGGTCCAAGGATTCTAGGTGTCATATAATATAAATTTTATTTTTTTGTGGAATCATTTATTTTATCTTCGCGTTTTTCTTTCAATTTTCTTCCTGGACTTCCATTTTATTTAGAGATTGATATCATAATTTTCCAGTGTAATAATTTATGTAAATTTATTAATATGCTATGTTATAGAAATACGTTGATAATTTTGAAAGTGAATTATTTTGTAGTACAAGTAATAATATTTTAATTTAAATGATAATGCACAACACGTTGGTCCTCAATTTGTATGATGCTAGAAAGATTATTAAGTTTGAAAGATTTCTGTAATGATTTTATTATAGGAGCATGTGAAGTCATTTTGTCGGAAGATGATTGGTGCCAAATAAATAACCTTACTAGTATTAGTTCTTTTAAAAATAACAATATTAAGATTACAATCAAAACAATTATGTTTATTTGATTTTAAGGCATATGGATTAGATGCCGATTAGATTTAGAAAAATTTACTGTCCTTTTTATACGAAATATCAGAAAACATGAAAATTCGAGAGCAACAATATTTTCAAAATAGTGTTATATACGCTTCTATATATTTAGACCCTCGATATCAAGTATTATTGAGTATTTAGCAAAAACGAATGGCTAAAGACCATCTTAAGGATTTATGGCATAAGCAAAACTCCTTTATTTACAATATATTGAAGGCTACGACAATACTATTGGTTGTAGTGATAATAATAATAATGATAACAACATTGATGATCTTTAATTTAACTTTTAGATAGAGAAGAAGAAAAATCAAATTATAATCAGATAGAAAGGAGGATCAAAAAATGCCTATTGCATCTTTAATAGTAAAGTTCTCAGAAGTTAAGAGAATAAATAAGGATATAAATATTTTAAAATTCTGGGAAGAAAATTCTTCAATTTATCCAGAATTATATATCTTATCTAGAAGCAATATGGCTGTACCGGCGATTACAATAATTTTATAAATATAACTATCTATTTTATAAAGGGTAGAACGTGAATTTTCATCTTTAAAATATATAGTCTACTTTACGTGGAAATCTCAAGGATTATATTTTAGAAGTTATTATGATTGTGCGAGAATAAAACATTTAAAATATAAATTATTTCATTTGTAAATTATGAATATGTATAGAACTATAATAATAAATGAATATAAAAAAAATCTTATTTTGAATCATTATTTTTATGTTCCCTGAACCCGAACCCTGGACCCGGGTCCTTTCAAATTTTATTCCTGTACCCAGACCTGGACCCCTTTTTTTATCGAAGAGTTCACATCCATGGTATAGACACCGGTTGATGAGTCTAATCATAAATAAGTTAAATTATTTTTACATATTAAATTTAATAAAATTAGCTTATGGTAAGCAATTTTTTTTTTGTCTACACCGAGTTCTCGGTAACTAAATTGTGACGCATAGAGCTTTATGGAGATAAATGTAATAAATAATAAAATTGGATAAATGAATATAAAAGGTCAAAAATGAAAAAGAAATAGATATTAAATATGAAATTAGGATGTTATTGCGAGTCGAAATAATAACTAAAACTAGGTGAAAAATGGGTTTGTTATTTTTGAATCGAGTAAATTCTGATACCTTAGAGAGGCGCGTACGCAGGAATTTGGTCTGGGTAGGGGGGGGTGGTTAATAAAATTTTTTAAGAATATTATTGATTTTTTAAAAATATCAAGCATAAATTTATTAGGACTAATAACTATTTCTAATACACAATTTTAAATTAATGTGAATTATAAAAAAATTATATGAAAAGAATCACTTAAATGACCCAAAATAGAAATTTGAATTTTTTGAGCCTTTACACAAAAAGTTTCTTAAATAATTGTATTTTGTATGTTATATATTTACAATGTAAAATTCAATCTTCGTTGGGATTGAGCTATTTTTCAATTATCTCATCCTTGCTTGTCGTCAAATCCCTATGAATATTCAAAAGATCCAAACCTTTCAATCTTTCAGATGTTGTACTTCTTGGTATGTTTTTCAGAGACCTGCAGGACCGGCCCCCAAGCCGGACAGTATTTTAATATTCTTAAATATACCCGGGCCGGGCCCGAAATTTGTTTAAAAAACACCCGGGCCGGGCCTGAATTATTTAAAAAAAACACCCAGGCCGGGCTGTATTTTTTAAAACAGCCTATATTTGAAATCGTTATTATTAGCTATAAAAATCAAAAATAAATATAATTTATTTTTTAAAAATCCGGGCCGGGTCTGAAAATTTTATTTTAAAAAAAGCCGGGTCGGGCCTAAAAAATTTTTTAAAAAAGCCTAGCAGGGCCTGAAAATTTTTAAAAAAACCCAGGCCGGGCCGTCTAAAAAAAATCCGGGCCGTGCCTTGCCTTGCAAATGGTACTTTTGCAGGCCTCTGTTATTCTTTTTAAAAAGAGAATGTTCTCTCATTAGTTTACTAATGGGAAGAGTGTATAAACCCTTTTAATACATTGGGAATTTAATCTAAAATGTGTTTGAAATAATGCAGAGCATCCATAGCATTTTTTGGGACTATATCAACTATAGTTAATCTTATAAACATAGTTATTCAGCTAGTAAGGCATCATAAGATACTTTAACATCTTTATGATAAAAATCTAACAAATATTATTTTTTCTATCACCATCTAAAAAGGTTTGGAAGGCTTTTGTGGAAGTAATATTTGCAGATTAGTAAGTGCTGCATGATGAATTAAAAATTCATTTAATTGGGTTATAAATGTATCTAAGATATACTCTTGTACTGATCCTATATTAATGTTTTAACGATGAGCTTGCCTTGCTACAAGTCGAGGGAGACTAATATTAAACACGTATAGCTCTGCTTTTGACTCAACAATAAAATATGAAATTCTTATTCAACATTAGCCCTAATTTCCTTGAGTTCTGATAAAATGCTCTCCGCTATTCTCATCTTCTTAATCAAGTCAATTTCATGTTTTTGAAAAGTAATACTTAAAATCAGGGTTGTGCATTTGACCTGTCAATTACGTTTCGGTACCGGTCAAATGTGGTCAAATTCAAATATATTTTTTTTAAGTTAATATTAACTTTATTTTGAATATAATAGTAAAATGAATCTATAATATTAATTTTTTAAATTCATTGTCATTCAATAACTAACGTGTAGCTATCTGTATCAGAGTCTTGTTCTGATTCATATTCAATATTATCATTTTCTTTAATATTTTTTAATCTATTTTCCTGATGTCTTAGATCTTAAATCGATTTCTATTTTCATAAGAATATTAACCCAAATCGACCTATTTTTTTCTAAAGAAGAAGTAGAACTAGGAATTGTTAGTCTCTTAATGGACAGGGTAGACAAAGTTTAATCTATTAACTTGAGGTCGGAATTGATTGTCTCTGGAAATTACTACTTTCCACATAATTTGCTATATTAAACATGCTGTTTTTGCTTTTGAAATTAATATCACTTAAAATATTTTGGTCTACCTTGTAAAATAGCTAATTCTTGAATTATATCACATACTTCATTAATTTCACTACTAGTGAGTTCTCCTCTTGATAATGTGGACCCAAAAAATAAGCAAACATTGTGATCACATGTATTTACATCGTTTTTCCCTTTTTTAAACATATTTTTAATTTATTTCTTCTTTAAATTTTTTAGAGTATTTGACCGTATTTGACAGGTCAAATACTCCTCCGGTCAATTGACTGAATTTGACTGGTCAATTGACCGGCTTGCCAACCCTGCTTAAAATAGTTTTATAAAATAATACATTATAATGAGAAATAAAATTTGGAATAAGCATTGAATCCAATAATTTTCTTGCTTCTGAGTAAATATTTCTTTCAGGCTATTGTGATATATCAGTAATAGCAAATAATTGGCTCTTCTAACTCCTTAAAAGCGGTTACTGCTTGATGGCAGAGACTCTATCTCGCTGGATTGCAATTTCTTTCTCCCTGTTGGACAAAAAGTTTTAGAAATAATTATTATTTGACTAGAAATTTGAAAATGGTAGATAAATATTACCCCACTAAAAATTTGAAAATAATAAGTAAATATTACGCCGGAAAACTTGAAATCGAAATTAATTGATAAAATAACTTATGAATGTGATAATAAATGTAATTAAATATATATTTAATATGAGATACGAATAAATATTAACAAATATAAATTAATATAAACATTAATATTTTTGAAAAATATATCCTCCCCCCCCGCTGCGTACGCGCCTGCTTGGAGATAATGAGAAGGTTAATTTGTTTAATTTAGATGTTAATTTTTTTCAAAGCAATTAAATAATCGGGAAACCGTTCTTTATATGATGTTTAAAGAATAAATTTCATTTTATGAGTAAATTGAAAATTTGCCACCGTTGGTATATTATCTATAATCTTAGACAAGAAAGGTGAACTGGTTTTGATCATCCATAACAGTAATATAATGCATATAATCGGTGCATAATTCTCAAATTTTTTTCTAAAATGTCACTCTGATCAGCACTCAAGCTCAGGTGTCATATTTGTTACAATTTAATTAGATTATAATTTCTTGGTTTTCATTTAACTAAGATTTTTATCACTATTTTTTGTTTTATTTATTAGTCTCTTCGTTCCGAACAAGCAAATTTCTTCATCTCATCATAACCACAGACTCAGAGATAAAATTGATCAAATTTTAGCTACTTGCGAAAGCTTATTCGTTTCAAACATCAAGGAGATGCCGCAAGATTTTGTAAAGCAATTAATATCCCCTCTTCCTCCTAGTGGATTTAATTATTCCGACGTAAATAAAAAAATTAATAATAATTTATAATCTTATTAGATATTATTTACTGTGTTCCAATTGAACCGATCCCTTTTGGTTTTAGCAATAAATCTGTCAATTTTAAATATAATTCAATAAAATTTATAGATTGATAAAGATACAAATTATCTATATTTTTTGCAAATTTCATCCAATTCTGTAAGCAAGGTCCAAAGTTATGCACATTCAAAGTTGGACAAATCAAATTCGAACATGTAAAAATTAATTTTTTTATTAAACTTTACATTTAGATAATAATAAAAAGTAGGTTTTCAGTAAAGATGACTTGAGGTTAAAAAATTTTAAAATAAGAAAAACATCAAGGAGCCAAAAGGTTTGAAGGAATTTCCTATCAGACACTGGTCTATCGCAGCCTAGAATCAATTAATTGCAAAAATTGATGCTACCAGCAGAAAAACGATAAGGGGGTGTTAGACCCCGCACAGCTCCTACTATATGGAAAATATTTTGAAATACTCGTTTGAACCAAGAAGACCGACCTGGCATTCAAAGAAATTGGTCAAGTACCCCGAGAAACTAGTATTTCGTTAACTTTAGTGCATCCTATTATCCACGAAGAGCTGCTGCACATGTTTAAAAAATAACAAGCCCAGGACCTACGATACGAATAAGATTGCCCATCTGGTACTTACCAAACAACTTCTTCGGAAATACCCTCTGAGGTTATTTCATTATATTTGGTTTGCAGATGAAAATCTATTTACTATAACTCTACTAGTAAATCTGCAAAATGATAGGGTGTACGTTGCAGTTTCAATGAGAATAAACAAGTTACCGTCAATCGCTAGTACAACATTTGACTCAAATTAATTTTAATTATTTATGTTTTGTCGAATTTTAAAGTTAATTTTTTAAAAAATGAATGTTACATGTTAGAAATTTCGAATTTTGTTTATTCAACTTTGAATGCCTGGACCCTATAATTTGAAAATTTGCAGAAAATATTAATAATTTATCCATCTCTCAATTTATAAAATTATATTGAATTATTCTTAGAATTGACAGATTTATCACCAAAAAAAGGTATCAGTTCAATTGGAACACAGTGTATATTTGTTTTAATTTATGATTCTGCTCATAACTAATTGCATTTTTTTGCACAATCAGTAATATATCTCACTTACGGGATCTTGGACTATCCAGACAATTATCCACACTAGCATTACATGAATATATTAAATTATGGATGCACTTATTTTTTAAATTTCGGAGATCATTTTTATTTTAAGTATATCGGTTACCGGTGATAACATTAAATTTAAAAGGTCTTTCTGTCTGCCCTCTCATAAAATAATTTTATACAAGTTATCAGGCCCTGTCCTTAATATATTTTTATGAAGGAAAAAGAAACCCGCGTCGATTTCTTTGGTTATGTTTATAAGATCTTTTTGTGTATTTTTTTAAAATTAGATAAATTTATGTTTAAGTAAATATTTACCCGCCTCACGAGATATTTTTTTTAAACCTACAAAAAAATTGGGTTCTTACTTTAATATATGAATTATAAATAGGAATTATCAACTAAATCGCGGTTCACCAATGGGAAGAATGGATCCCTAAAACTATATCATAAAAATTGTAATCCTTCGGTTAAACCAGAATCTAATGAAGATTCAATCCATCATCCTATTACATCCATTGGTAATGTCTTATGCTAGTTGCCGAAATATTAATTATACTTTATATTTTATAGCATCGTCAAATATAACTACACAAACCAATATTATTCCATGCCTTTATATGTCAGATGCTCATAAAGACAGGATTAAAGAAAGGTAACATGATTATATTCTATATCTATAATTTAATGTCTAATCAACAAAACAAAATTGGAAAGCAGACCCAAAGCTTGGATTTGCCTACCGATCCGATAATTTTAAAACAAATATTTTTCGGTCTTGTTTTGTTAAGCATTAAATAGGCCTTATTATCTATAATTTAATAAATTTTAGAAAGCTTTTAAACCGTTACAAAATCATTCCATCTTTAAAATCCTTTACCTTTTCCTCTAATCCTTCGAATAGTATTGTGGAATTGAATGATCAAAAATTATACAATAATAAAGTTAATTATACCGGTGTAAATAATAACGGCACATTTTTTAGAGGCGCCTCGAAGAAATGCAAAAAAACATCGAATAAAATATTCCGAGTTGGCAGTTATCGCAAAAAATTGGTATAAAATTAATTTTTATTAAATATAAAAAAACCTTTAATTTTTAATTTTTGTTAGATTATAAAAAATAAATTAGGATGTCTCTTAAAAAATGTGTTTAAAACTCAACTAATAAAAATAGCCAATTATATTATACACTTTTGCAAAATAAAACATAGAACATTCAAAATAACAGCATCCACCATAATCATACACCATCCCTCACCAATTGTAACAATATATCAAACGACGCCTCATCAACCGCCGCCAAATTTAACCACCTAAATCAAGACCACCAAAACGAAAGCGAGCGCTCTTCTGAGTACACCATAAATCCGCACCCAAACTCTAATAATAAAAAGAGTTGGATGATAAAGATGAACGTTCTACACGAGCAGGAGGATGAAGAAATTATCGACGATGTTAAAAATATTCAAAACGAGGCCGATAATTTTCATTCATTCTTGCCTATATGTTGTAGCGTTCGCTTGATTTTGTGCAAGACTTGCGGCAAATCTCTTTTCAATAAATTAGCACTCCAATGCCAGAGTAAATTATTATTTCTTTTATATTAATACTTTTTTAAAAGTGAAGTTAATAGTTTGAAAGAGATTAAAAAAATAATGTTAGGAAGAAGTATGAAAAAAAATGACAATTAAAATGAACAGAATGAATAAAATATAAAGGCTTATGGTTGATATAATTCCTGATTTCTTGTGCTTACCCGTAAACAAAGTTTAAATTTTTATGACATTTTTAAGTAAAGCTTTTTTTTCAAAATATTAAAATTAAAAAATTAACAAGTATAATGAAGTAAGACAGATCAGCAGAAGCGAATGACCACAGCGAATCTAAATTTTTGTTTGTTTAGCTCGTAACCTAAGTTTCTTGAATGGCTTCGACAGATTTGCATCTAAAGTCATGGTTAAGAAACATGAATAGGACATGATGGTTGTCAAACATAGGTAATCAACGAAATTTTCTCTAATATAATTGTGATTCTAATTTGAATAAGTTGTTTAACATGATTAAGTTTTATGAGCTGGGAGAATAGAAGCAATTCTTTTGCCTTAGCCAAACTCTTAGAAACATCGTCAAAGAAGAAACCGATAGCTTTGTCATTTTTAACAATAGAACTAAGATACGTTATAGCATCTACAGCTACGTCGGTGAAATCGAATGAGTTATGTCAAAGGAATCAAATTACTTAAATGACCTATTTCAAGTTTAAAACGAATCGAAGTCTCTTCACTCTGTAGAATATGTAACGTCTTTTTTATCTCAAAAGGAAGAACATATGAAATTATAATCTATGTACCAAGAATGAGTGTCTTAGGCATACTCAATTATAATTTTTGCGATAATCAGTTGCACTCCCGAACAAAATAAAATTGATTCAAGAAGGTCCCTTATGAATGCCCTGAGATGATTCTATGGTGTGCTCACCTTGTTTGGGGCAAGGAATGCTCGGGATAACAAGCCAGTAATAATTTTGATTAGCTGAGACATCAGAAATAAAGATTTATATGAAATGTGATCTATGCAAAGATGTATATGCAGTAGCAAATTCTATATGTATATCTGGGATTGACTTTGAATAAAATTTGGCGAGTTTGTACAGCACTCTCATGACCACATTTGATGCCCAACCATAATTGTATAGAGTAGAGTAAAGAAGAGGATAATTCTAACTCCTAAAAACTGCACCCATTACAATCAGACGAATGTCTATGTTGAGTTTAGTGAGATCATGATATCTGGAGTACTACCACGAAGCAAGTTATTACAAAAGGTTGTGAGAATGTAAAGGATGTTTGGTTGCGTTGCAGGCGTAATTATGCCCTGAAGAAGGAATTCCCTTAACACCCTGAGAAAATTCTTTCTGAAAAGATAAGATGGTCTATCTGTCATTTTAAATTAATTCTTGTTGTTGTTCAAAGGATGAGTAAATGTGTGTAACTGCAATAGAATGTTTTGTTTGAAGGTTATAGCCAAATGGGGTCAAAGCATCAAAAGAGGATGCTAGGCGATACACTTTTGGTATTGGGATTGTCAATCTTCTTGGGGATAAGTCTAACTTTCGTTTGAGGAAGAGACAATATCGGGATCATTTAGCATAATTATCTAAAATGTGATAATTAGGTTTTATATTATACTGTTAGTGTCACGTCTTTTATATATCAAATAATTTTAAATTTAACATAATTATCTTTAAAAAAAATAAGATTGCTTAAGTTCAATTCACGACATTCCTGCTTGCAAAGGTCAATTGTTTAAATGTCCGCTTAATTACAACGAATTTGACACCCAAGATTGTATTAATAATAATAAATTTTGGAACTTGAAGTCTTTGTCATTCAAAAATTTATCGAATTGTGAAAACAACAATTTACACACCGAAAATCATCATAAAGTATATATATACACATATATTTAATAGAAATTAATTTATACATTAATTATATATTTCTCAAATAAGAAAATCAGATTTTAAATTTATTTTTAACGGGAAGGGCAATTATTCTTTTAAATAGTATATTAATTGATATCGGACAATAATGTCTCAAACAAAAAATTTTAAAATGCTTAAGGAGTTTAAATTTTCAGACTAATTTTACAATAAATGGATATTTTTGTCCAATGATTCTTTTAATTTTTATCATTAGTTTTTGAATAATTATCGTTTCTAATTTTACAAATATTTCTAGAATCGATCAAATTTAAGAAATATAAATCATGCTACTCAAAATGACGCGTTCAATATGGATTACATATTGTTTAATAACCCCCCGAAAACAAATATAGCTAAAACTAAATCAGAAGGAGGTGTCTTATTTATTATTAATATTTAATATAAAAATATTTTAGTGGCTTGACGTAAACTGGGAGACAAATTTGATTTAAAAAATAAAATTTTTATCTATTTAATATATTTTTTAACCCATTAATGACGACGTAACATGAGTTTCAACCCGACCCCTTCAGATTTTTCTAAAATTTTTACTAGAGTTTGCATATATTATAACTAAGTAGAAAATAAAATTTTAGCCTCAAACTCCAAACAGCGACTGAGATACGGGTCTCTAAGTCGAAAAAATGGGGAATTTTGGGCAAAATTCTCTCCCTTTAATTTTAAATATCTTTGGATATAATTGAGCTAAAATCGTCAAATTTTTTTATATAGCCTAATGGTAGGCCTTTAAAGATATCATATGAAAAATATTATTAAAAAATTATAAATGTCAAAAACCAAACTGTAAATAGTCATTAAATCAAAATCAGTTTTTTTATGAATTATGCAAAATTTCAAGTAAGACCGAGCAGAGGTTTAGGAGATATGGCATTTTAATCATTAGTCAATTGTGAAAATTCCTAATATTTGATTAATCATTAATTGTGATATATATAAGATAAAATCTTTTAAATATTTTATGTATTATCAGAGACCTGCAGAGGTACCATTTGCAAAGCCCAGCCTGAATTTTTTTAAAATATATAATATTTATTTTTAATTTTTATAGATAATAATGTCGATTTAAAATATTCGGCCCTACCCTGGTATTTTAAAAAAAAAGAATTATTGGCCTGCCTAGGGTATATTCAAAAAAATTAAAGTACGACACGACTGTACAGGGCCGAGCTTGTAGGTGTCTGATTTAAGAAAATATTATAGAAGACTTGAGTGGGGGGGGGCTATTTTATGTAATTTATTTCGTTCCTAAAATTTTCACAACTTGCACAAGCATATACTTTGTGAAGACCTAAGAAATGTGCTTCCTTGGATGATTAACCAGAATAAATAAAATTTGTATTATTTAACATAAATATTTAAGCAATTGAAAAATAAATTTTAAACAATACTTTAGATATTGACGGGTTTATAAAAATTCATGGACTTTAAAAACAAGAAGAATTTTATACGACTGAATTCATGGCAAGGATAGCAAGGAAATTGGTTAAGAAAAGGGGTGTTTTATCCATTCCAATATTATGAAGGCTAGAAGTGTTTTTCGAGACTATTTTATTTCAACGATATTATTCGAAAATATCATAATTCCGATTAAAAGAGTCATATGATGCCTGGTAAAAACACTTTTATATCAATAAAGGTTAAAAGAGGGAACCAATTGAAGATAATACTAATTTTAAAGAAACATATATTATAAAAGTGAGCTTTAATAAATATGCAGATTTAAGACCAATTCTTTTTTTTTCTAAACTAAAATGATTAGTTTTCTTAAAATAAAAATTTATCAAAAATGTTTTTTTTCTGATGGTTAATCAATAAATAAAATTCATAATCTAAGCCTCGTGAACTTGAATTTGGAATCAAAGCGGAGTGACATTTTTCGCAATATGGCAAACATTGGTTAAAGAGCTATCTTCAGCGTTCATATGAGAATCAAATGTTATACACATTTAGATTCATTTAATTTTTATAAACAAATATCACTGAAATTAATTACGCATATGAATGAGATGATGAATATGAAAATCAAAAGGTCAAACCTATTCCCGGAATACAAAAGTTTCATGCTTTTATGCCACTTAGGGAAAATTAAATTAAAGTTAAATTATTTTCATATTGTTAAAATTATTGAATTTGCAATATATAAATTAAATTTTGTTTTCAATAAATTATATTCAAAAATTAATTTATATTTTTTATTTATTTTTATGAGGAGAATTCAATTCATCAAATAAATTAACCAAAGCCCCCCCCCCCCTCCAAAAAAATTCCCCAGATCATAAATGACTATTCTTTTAAATATTAAACATAAAATATTTGATAGCTTTTGTCTTATATTATAATTATTATTAATATCAAATATTTATTAAGAATATGCAATTCACTAATGATTTACCATATCTTCTAAACGAAATTATTTATTAATTAATCCTGTAGCTATTGATAAAAAAAATTTAAGAGAAAAAAATATACCGATTTGATTTTATTACTATTTCCGGATTTCTATTTCCAGTTTTTAACATTTAAATTTTTTTAAATAATATTTAACATTATATAACTTTAAAGACCTACCACTATGCTATATAAAGTAATTTAAATAACGCTTTAATCTCAATTATATCCATATATATTTAAAATTAAAGGGAGATAATTTTGCACAAAATGCCCCATTTTTTCAACCTTTAGAGGCCCGTATCTCAGCCACTGTTTGGAGTTGGAGGCTAAAATTTTATCTTTTTCTTAGTTAAAATATATGCAAACTCTATTAAAAGAAAAGTCTGAGGGGGTCGAGTTGATAATCGTGTTTTTTTTGTTGATTTGTCATGAAATTCATCATATATGTATATTAGGGGTAAAATAATTTTAAACGCAAGAAAAAAATATTTTGAAAAAAACAATAAAAAAAGACAACACCACCGACATCGGCTTTCTTAAATATCATTTAAAAATTAAAAATATTTTGAAAATTTTACTCTAGCTATTATTTTTTATTATAAAAAATTAAATTTTACTTTTTGAACGTGCAAAAATAAAGTATTTATGTAAGAGTTAGGTGAAAATGTTAAATAAACAAATGGGATTTATTTTTTAGCATTATTTTTTTTACACTTTATATTAATATACCACGATACAATCTCATCATGTATACGAAAAAGAAAAATGGAAATATTAGAATTTATGAATGTAAATTTTATCAAAACACATTTCTTCCTCAAGTAGCAGCAGACCAAAGGTTCATAATACAAACTGCAGTAGAATGATATATTCTCGAGCAAGAAGTGATAATATTTTACTTCTGAAATCAACGTCATGAGCACTCTACCATCTCGTTCATTACAACCAATTTATATTTCAATGAAAGAATATTCATACATATTTGTATTGTTAAATTTATTTTATATAAATTAATATTTTTCAAGAGCCCGATTTGGGGCCTATTTTAAAAAACGGCCGATTAAGATTTTAGCCAAAATATTATTATTCAAGCCTGGAGATTTTGCTTATATATGGCAGAAAGATTTGAAATTCAATTTGCCAATTTTAAGGGCTTACATAATATTTATTTTGGCTAACATCTTAATTTTTTAAAAATCGACTCAAATCAGGCTTTTTAACAACACTTGTGAAAATAAAAATTTGCAATAAAATATTAATTTTGTAACAATAAATAAAGCGAAATTATCCCTAGGTATATAAGCAGGCGTCATTATAATTATTTTAGGGTCAATATCCACCTATATCATATTTATTAATAAATAAACTTTCATATTTTTAAATTTGAGAATATTAGTAAAGATTAGAAAATTATTATTTTAAATTTTTTTACACCTAAATTAATAACACTTATTATCATCTGAGGATTTTTTTAAAAATAAATAGTTATATATCAGGTACTAATTAATATTAAGGCTTGTAATTAAATAGGAAATATTTATGATCAAATTTAAAAATATAATATCATAAATTATTTGAGATATAATCAAAATAAAATGCATTGCATATAATGTATATGCAGGGTTCGTTCTTAATGGGTTATATGCACATTTGTGACAAATCAATTTTCAGGCATGTCATCATTTATTACCAATTATTTTTGACTGAAAATTTGAGCAAACAAGGATTATTTTATGATTATTGATAAATAAAATTTCTTACATTTGTAGTAGAGCTCTAAATTCAATTTTAAATTTATTGATTTTTTAAGCTCAACCCCGGCCCAAAAAATAAAAATAAAACGCATTCTTGTAAAGCTTAATATAAGTAATCCATAACAAATCGACTGAAGCGTGATTTTCGGACGACCATTTTTAAAATAGATGAAACTTCGCACGAAGATTAAATAGATTATATATTTTTTATAAATCAAAAATTTAATGCTCTAGCTCAAATGTATCCCGAGTTATAGACCTTTAAAGTTCGATGAGAGCCTTTTCCTCTTGAAACTCTCAAAAATATTTTGATATAGAATTATTTAAAAGTTTGATTTGTATATATAATCTATTTAACCTTCCGAATTTCATTCATTTTAAAAATGGTCGACCAAATCATTGGGTGATTTGTCATGGAATTACCTATCTAAATCACCATTTTTGTTTTTTAACCCCCCCCCCCCCCGATAAACTCATGTCGAATTCTTTTTTAAAACTTATTCGAAGCCCGACTATTTTTTTTAAAACGACTTTGAGCCAATTGGCAGGGCTCTAATTTATAAAATTTTATTTACAAATATTCTTATCAATTAATAAAACAAAATAAATACATAATTTTCATAAATATCTTCTATAACTTTTTAGCTCTTCAATCTTGTTCATTGGATAGTAGTTACACATACGAAAATTCACCTAAACTAAAAAATAGTAAGGTCTCTCGTGAATGTAATACAACAACGCACATAAATTTGAAAACATCAAAATCGATAGAAAATTTAAGTTCGTCTTTAAATCGCGAAATGCTAGGTATAATTATCAGTCAACCCTATAAAATAAATATACATAAATAATTAGTCTATCCCGTTTAAACTAAGCCAATCTTAAGATAGTTTGTAGGATATGTCTATTACATATATAATAAATACAACAAAAGAAAGAAAGTAGTGTTTAAATGGCTCGATTTGAGCCCATTTTCAAAAACTGTTTTACCCAGAAAAATATTGGCTAAGCTTCGAGATTTCGCTAATAAATAAACCTTTGTGCCATCCATGAGGGAAATCTTCAGGCTTTCATACTGGATACAATATTGAGTTGCAATTTTTAAAAATCGGCTCAAATCGTACCGTTTAACAACACTGAAAGAAAGAAATAAAAGATATGGAGAGAATGAATGAAAGATTTTCTTTATTTAAATATTTCAGGCAACGAAATCATTCAATCAAATTGCTCTTCGACCGATATCAATGATACCCTTAAGAAATACGTTGAGATAAACAATATTTCTAACCATAATAAATATGATATTGATCCAGCACAATTTATCAGGTTTTAATTAACATCATAATTTTTATTAATTTTGTAATGAGTTGACAGTTTTAACCTTCTCGCTTATAATTTTTTTCCGTTGTTCATCACATTCCCCTTTTTAGCGTTATTTGATTTAGGTCCCAGAACAATAATTTTTTTAATTTTCACAACTCGAGAAACTTTAATAACAGATTATTAACGTATTTTAGGAGTTAAATTAAGCAATTTTTTTATTGCATGAGGATTATCTACTAAAAATGTTACCTTTTTGTATCAATCAAACTTTTAATTAAATGCATGCTCTTAAAATATAATAATTATATTATCATATTTATCCTTGGAATAAATCATGGTTAGCCACTAATTCTTTCAATTTCATTGAGCCTTTGCTTATAGCTCATATTTCATTGCTTGAAAAAATATTGGGATTTCATTTACCGATGTAGTTTTCATATAATCATTGTTTTGACAGGTTATAAAATATGTCCGTAATTCATATTTAGAAACCGATTATAAAATAAAAATATGGATCATATGATGTAATAATTTTGTTAATAAATAACTTTCGATAGCTTTCACAACCCTTGTAGCCATTATTTAAAAAATGGCGGTGAGGACAGGCCCATAACCAATGCAAATTTGCCTGTTCTCGTAAATATCATTTTAAGCTAATAACAATTTTACCCCTCTGCACCCCCACCACACCCCCTCTCCTAAAACTGTATACAATATATCATTATAAAGAAGAATTTGAAAGAAAAATTAGTAAAAGTTAATCACTTTTTAAATTAACGACTATTCAAAATTTTTTTTAAAAAAAGGATTTTAATAAAAATAAAAGTGAAATCTCAAAATTATTTTTATGAAAATCTAATAAAGCCAAAGGCCTACAATAAGTGGACCTAAAGATCTTCAAATAAATTTATGGGCAAAAATAGAGAAATCCTGGATACACCTTAGGGTGAGGACAGAGTTGGGCAGGTCCTCCGGAAAAAGAATCTAGATACAGATACAGATTCTTTATAAAAAAATGAATCTTCAAATACTAGTATCTTTTTCAAAATATCAATATTTAAATTATCATTACCAATTAAATTAGAATATTTTATAAAATACAATTTTTATTATTTAATTGTGAAGAACATAGCATACATATATAAGAATGAATATTTGCAATAATTAATAAAATATTTATTGATGAATTGATTATAATAATCAGGGATTTTAATATTAATTTTTGCCCATTAATAGCTTAAACAGGGAAGGGAAAGTAGTATATTTAATGGGAGTTGAAAATGTGCAAATAAGAAAAAAAATTAAATCAAATGATTTATTAGAATTTGTAGGTTATTTTCTGTGTTATTTTAAATATAGCTTTTATTCGGAGTATATGGCTAAATGGCATCTCTAAAAAATATACTAGTTTTATTTTATTCATTATCTTTAATAAGTATTTATCATTACTTGTTTGTGATATTTATGTATTTTTTAAATTAGTTTTTTCTAATATGACTTATTAATTCTTGGATTTGTATTACCATATATTTATATAAATAATTTAAATCTCTTTTAAAATTTTTTTATTATATTTCTTGCAAAATCATTTATTATATATAAAAAATATGAAAATAATGTACAACATTATATTATTTAATTATTAAATACATAACAATTTTCTTTAATGCATTTTAAATTGATTAAATTTTGTAAATATATACTGTAATGTAATTTTACTTATATCATAAATAAATAAAAGTAACTAATAAAGTTAAATTATACCTTATTATAATTATTTTATTAAGAGCCTTTTAAATATCTAATATTATATACCAATTGTAGCTTAAATATTTTCTCTAATAAGAACTTGCTAAAATAATTAAATTAAAATATATTAGGGATGTGCCGATATTTTTTATCGAATCGGATCGGGCCGATATTTCACCCATTTTAAAATATCAATTATCGGTCAATATTATAAAATTTGATCCGATATAAAAATGGCTTCTTTAACAAAAATAAAATTTTAAAAAATAGTTATATCTAAAATCATTTATTTTTATAAATAAAATCGAAATCCATTTTTATGTATATTTTTTTAATAATAATAATTAATTAATAAACATTCTACCATATTGTTATTTTTTTGCGCATTCTGTTTATAAAAGTGTGTGATAATCTCTTCAGAATCTGTTTTTAGTGAAGCTGGTAATATTAACAGTTACTTTCGCCGCAAGCTGACCTCTGATAAATTGGAAATATTGGTATTTCTAAAAAGAAATCTTCGCAATATTAATGTTAAATATTATTTTAAATATTTATTTCAAATTTAATAATATAATTGTTTATTACTTAATATGTATATAGATTAATGTTATTACTTATTATATAAAAGTGATTTAACAATAAAAATATTTTATATACTTTTAGAATTGCAATTGAATTGAATATAAACTATAACTGATCATTATAATATATTTAAATGACATAAGTTATGGTATAGTTAAATTATATATGTTTTACTAATAAAAAGTATATTAAAAATAAAAACCATTAGTATCTTTACAGAATACAAAATTAGATATGATATCGGATCGACCTCTAAAAAATGGTATCGATACACCCCTAAAAAATATATATGCGAAATGATTTTAATTTAATAATCAACCATCTTCTATAAAAAATTTTAATAATTATCTAAGAGGGACTTAAGTATAGGTATTATTATGTTAATAATTATAAAATAAAAATGTATAATGTTAAGGTTGGCAGGGAGTAAGGAAGATAAGACAAATTTTTTATTTAATAAATATATTTTAAAATGTTTAACTACAATATATGACTAAAAAGAACTATAATAATTTTATCCTTTATATATATAAGCAAAACTATTAAATAATTAAATGAAACTGTTAAGTTAAATGAAACTATCAAGTTAAGCTAAATGAAACTATTAAGTTAAGTTAATATAAATGGTGTTAAATGAATGTAACATATAAAAATTTGCGCTATATAATAACCATTATAATAAAATAATAATCCATGTTCAACATTCCACCCTCTACAGGAACCCAGCCTAGGTTCTCTTTAAATGTAAATCTTTTGTGTTCAAGGAGTTTCCCATCTATTTTGATCATAAAATCTGTCATAGTTTTGTCTTGAAAAATTTGGCATCTTATCTTGTCTTGCTCCCTCCAAACGTTTTAGATCAGAGTGTGTATTTTCTTTGATAACAATCTTATGTATATATGTTTCGATGTCAGTTTCTTCTAATTCTTTGTTTATCTTTAAATTGTCATTAGTAAATTATGAAGTATCCGTGCTGTTGCAAAAAATAATCGATAGTGATGTGTTGTTTGTTTGGTTCAGTAGTTATTTAGTTTCTTCATCATTTTGGCTTATATGCAGCTTGTTATTCTGATTGTCTAATCGTTTGCTTGACCATCATCTCGTTGTTTATTATCATTTGTATTTATTTATCACTTGATATTATAATCATGATTAATTTAACTCGAATGAAATAATTTCGGAATAATAGAAATAACGTGATAAAGATAATTTATAGGAATCATTTATGGAATAAGAATCATCATTTGGGATATAGAATCATGGAATATTTTGAATTTTAGCGTTTTATATAATAATTTTTTTTTTATTAATATCATATTTCAATTATTTTTATTTTTTAAATTTTACTCCCTTATTTTTTAAAGCAAATAATAACTCAAAATTACTGTTTTCTTTTATCTTCAATAAAAATAATGTTTTAAAGTAGTCATTATTACTTACACGTAATTTATATTTTATTGTATTTAAAATTTGTAAAATTCGTGCACTTTATCATTAATTATATAAGGTAAATGTTTATTTGTATTGTCTATTCTCTTGATTTTTTTATATTTGTAAGTGTCAAGCTTTAATGATTTGGATTCTATTTTTTTAAATTTTTGTATATGGGAATTTCATCTATTTCATTTTTATTAATTTTTTAATACTCTTTTAAAATTTCACCATGTGATCTTATGGGTATATTTATATTTTCATCATTTTTATATTTAGATACTAAAATTATTTCAAATGATATTATGTCAACAAAAATTTCCTTTAATTTATAAGTATTAATTATATGTTTATCAATATTTTTATTTATGAGATTTATGTCATTAATATTATATATCCATTTGAGCCTTTTCAGCAAAGCATCTGGAGATTCAAACTCCTCATCTGTCGACATGGCTCTAATTAAGCTAAAGATATTATCTGGTAAATTAACAGTTAATAGCATAGCCTCACAACTACTTTTGAGCTTACTATCTTTAAAAAAATTCTCAGTCTCAGCAATATAAGACTGCATGTTGCCGCTATACTCCTGAAAAGATAATATCATAATATTATTTTTATAATATGTTTATTTTATAAATATTTTAGAGATTTTATAATTAAAATTTTAATAAATTTTTTTTACTTTTTCAAATTAATTATTTCTTACATGTTTTTTTTAGAATGAAATCAGAACTTTTTTATCAATTTGATTATGTACCAGTAGCTAAAATTATATTATATATGGATTTAGAATATTTTGTGAGTCATCATAGCCCAATTTTAATAAGTTCGTCTAGTTTGATATCTAGTTTAACAATTGTCCTCGTTGTTGATTTATCCATTTGATCTAAATTCTATTTTGTGTAAAATAAATAAATTTAAAAGATTTTAAAATTGTAAATTCCGCTGCCACCATGTTAAAGGGCTGGCAGGGAGTAAGGAAGATAAGACAAATTTTTTATTTAATAAATATATTTTAAAATGTTTAACTACAATATATGACTAAAAAGAACTATAATAATTTTATCGCAAAACTATTAAATAATTTAATGAAACTATTAAGTTAAGTTAAATGAAACTATCAAGTTAAGTTAAATGAAACTATTAAGTTAAGTTTATATAAATGGTGTTAAATGAATGTAACATAAAAATTTGCGTTATATAATAACCATTATAATAAAATAATAATCCATGTTCAA